TCATTTCTGGCTTCCAATCTCTGGTGGTGGCCAAGCTTAACTCAAACCCATGCCCCTCCCTACAGCTGTACCTTGATGGACCATTTGGAGAGGGCCACCAGGAGTGGCATAAGTTTGAGGTGTCAGTGCTAGTGGGAGGGGGCATTGGGGTCACCCCTTTTGCCTCCATCCTCAAAGACCTGGTCTTCAAGTCATCTGTCAGCTGCCAAGTGTGCTGTAAGAAGGTGAGTGCCCCCTCTTCCCACCAACCCATGGCCCCTTCTTCCTTGTCATGGTACCCATCTGTGCCTTTCTCCTCTGCCTTTGTTCTTGGCTTCCCTGAACTGGGCAGGTACAAGTTGGTTTGAAACCTGGGGTTGGTGGTGGGTGGGGTGGTATCAAAATATCCCTAGACCCTGAAGGACAGAACAGGTTTGCGGATGCCTCCAGGATCCTGCCTGGTTTACAAAGACTCCTTCCCTCAGTTAGGGGTGCTCCACATAGGATTTGCTTCTGGGAGTTCCTCCAGGCAAGGTTGGAGGGGGTAAAAAAACCCATTCCTTCTTACAGAGGATCCCAGCACTTGCAGCCTTATTGGGCTGGGAGAGGGAAGGGCATGTTGGGTGGGGCACAAGTGAAACTGGCTCAGCTCTCAAGAGAAAGAGGAGGAGTGGTGGCAAGGCAGGGCTGGTGGGCCAGGTTGGCCCCAGCAACAAACCCTCAGGTCCTCACACGGGTCCTTTCACACCAGCCTGGACCTGGTGGCAGGTCCCTGCTCGTTTCTCTGGGCCTGGCAGGTGAGTCAGGGGCGCTGGAATGCGCAGGGCAGAAGCCCAGCCCATGTGCTGTCAGCATTCAGAGGGTGACAGCTCCCCTGCTCTCCTCTGCCCTCTGCTTCTTAACTACACACCCCACTTTACCCCTCTCGGAAGCTGCAGAGGGCTCCCCGCAGGGCAGCTTCCACCCGCTGGTCTCTCTTTGAGCCCATTCCCATCTGCCCAGGCAGCTGCTGTGTCTCCCTGAAGCTGCTCTGTGAAATGCCCTTTAGCCACTAGGTGCCTGGCAGCCTGAGCAGGAACCACTGGAGGGAGCTGTAGGACAGGCTGAGCATGAGAGCTGCTTCCCACCCCACAGACCTTCACCTCCCCATCACCAAGGGACCTTTCCCATGGCCCTGGGGTCTCTCACTTCCACTTCTCTGGGCCCTGGGCCAACTCCATCTCTGGCCTTAGAGCCTGGCCCTGTGGCCCATACACTCCCTCTCCCCCGGCTGTCTAGGGAAGGGCACAAGCTGGCTGAGGTCAGAAGAGTTCTGTTGGTATGGACACCCCTGGGATGTAGGGAGGCTGAGCTGAGCTGGGTGCTGAGCTCCAGCGATGTGTCCCCAGATCTACTTCATCTGGGTGACGCGGACCCAGCGTCAGTTTGAGTGGCTGGCTGATATCATCCGAGAGGTGGAGGAGAACGACCACCAGGACCTGGTGTCTGTGCACATCTACATCACCCAGCTGGCTGAGAAGTTCGACCTCAGGACCACCATGCTGGTATGTCAGGGCCCACCAGGAGGGTATGTGGGCCACTGTCTGAGCTAGGAGTTGATCCTAGCCGTGCGTGGCTGAACTTTGTTCCACCCTTCTCTACCATAGTACATCTGTGAACGGCACTTCCAGAAGGTTCTGAACCGGAGTCTATTCACGGGCCTGCGTTCCATCACCCACTTTGGCCGCCCCCCTTTTGAGTCCTTCTTCAACTCCCTGCAGGAGGTCCACCCCCAGGTCAGTCCAACCCATATCCAGGTTCACTTCCTCTTTATCATTTGGGGTCTGAGCAAAGCTCCCAAACCTGCCCCATCAAGGAAGAAACTGACTGCCGATGAGAACCCATCCCCTGGGAGATTGGTGGGGTAACGGAATGGAAAGGATAGGTGGGGGTCACTCTTAGGTGCTAAGGAAGGAGGCAGGCAATAGGGACTTGCCATCTCTGAAGCCATGATGTATTGTCCAGAAGGAAGAGCTCAATCATTGAGCTAGTCCTCGCCATAAACTCAGGGCTACCCTCACCAATACTGAGTCAGTCCTCACCCTGGACACTGACAGAACCTTTACCGTGAGCACTGGGCTAGTCACTACTCACAAATACTGGGCTAGCCCTCCATGAGACGCTGAGCCGTTCTTCAGCTTTAACACTGATTAACCCAACCCCTATTAGCAATGTTGATCTAGCACTTAGCAAAATTCCACTAGACTTATAAACACTGAGCCAGCCCTCACCATGCAAACCATCAGGAGCCCTGCTGGCTTCCTTTTTTTTTTTTTTTTTTTAAAGAACGGGTATCGCTCTGTTGCCCAGGCTGGAATGCAGTGGTGCAGTACCAGTTCATTGTAACCTCCAATTCCTTGGTGCAAGCAATCCTCCTGCCTCAGCCTCCCAAGTAGCTGGGACTACAGGAGTGTACCACTATGCCCGGCTAATTTAAAAAAAAAAAAAAAAATTAGAGATGGATCTTGATATGTTGCCCAGGTTGGTCTTTAACTGGGGAGTTACCCCTTCCTGTGAACACTGAGTTATTCCTGCCTCTGAACACTGAGCTACCTCTGCCTCTGAGCAACGAGCTAGCCTTCACTTATTCCTCCTGCAACAGGTCCGGAAGATCGGGGTGTTTAGCTGTGGCCCCCCTGGCATGACCAAGAATGTGGAAAAGGCCTGTCAGCTCATCAACAGGCAGGACCGGACTCACTTCTCCCACCATTATGAGAACTTCTAGGCCCCTGCCCAGGGGTTCTGCCCACTGCCCAGTTGAGCAGAGGTTTGGGCCCACAGCTCACCTCTGTTCTCCCTATTTCTGGCTGCCTCAGCCTTCTCTCATTTCTCACCTCCCAACCTTGTTCCAGGTGGCCATGGTCAGTCACCAGGTGTGGGCTCAGGGACCTCCAGGCCCAGGATGTGTCTCAGCCTGGAGAAATGGTGGGGGAGGGGGGCCGTGTCTAGGGTCTAGAGTGAGAAGTAGGGGAGCTACTGGTTTGGGGCAAAGTAAAACCTGTTTCCAAACTTCAGAAACAAATCTCAAAAGACAAACTGACCCGACAAGTACCGTGTGTGTGCAGGTCTGTATGTGTGTTGGGGTGGCGAGTGTAAGGATGCACTGGGAGCATGGATGCTGGCATCTTAGAACCCTCCCTACTCCCAGACCTCCTCCTCTTCTGGGCTCCCCACTGTCAGAAGGGCTGACAATTGCCTTGCAGGAGGTAGAGGCTGGACCCATGGCAAGCCATTTACAGAAACTCACTCAGCACCACAGTCTAACACCACGACTGATTTCACCCAAGGTTTTAAGCATGTTCTTTCATCAGACCCTGGCCCAATACCTATGTATGCAATGCTCCTCAGCCCTCTTCTCCCTGCCCCAGTAGTCTCCCTTACAAATAAATCACTTTTCTGTGTTCAGGGTTTCTTTATTCTGCCCTAGAACCGGATGGGGCATGGGGAGAGGAAGCCACTCACCCAGCCAGCTCACCAGGCTGACCCAGACATCTCTCAAGCTGGCCAGTGTCCTGAGTAAAGGAGCTGGCCCAAGGTAAAGCGCCCCAGCTAGAGAACCCTTCCCCAGCCCAGGGGTGCCCTTCCTGACAGAGGGTCTGTCAGCCACTAGTGTGAGGCCTGGTGAGCCTGCTCAGGAGGGGCAGAGAGGGTGTGGAAGCTTCTGGAGGAGGTGGGCTGGGGAAGAGAACGCGGGAGGGGCAGACTCAGCTGGAGCCTATAGGGAGCCAGAGCCATCTGGCTTTTTCCAGGACCTCAGTCACTCCCAGCCCTTCTCTGAGGAAAGGGAGAGTTGGGCACTCGTGCCTACATGGCTCTTCCAGGCAGTGAGATGAGGGCAAGGAGACAAATGAACACATCCTGGCCTGTTTTCTCATCTGCAAAATGGCTGGATGCTCTCCTAGTCGTCTTAAAGACAGGACAACCGTCTGAGGGGAATTTTTTTTTTTTTTTTTTTGTGAGACAGAGTTTTGCTCTTGTTGCCCAGGCTGGAGTGCAACAGCACGATCTCGGCTCACCGCAACCTCTGCCTCCCGAGTTCAAGCGATTTCTCCTGCCTCAGCCTCCCGAGTAGCTGGGATTACAAGCATGCACCACCAGGTCCGGATAATTTTGTATTTTTAGTAGAGACTGGGTTTCTCCATGTTGGTCAGGCTGGCCTCGAACTCCCGACCTAAGGTGATCCACCGACCTCAGACTCCCAAAGTGCTGGGATTACAGACGTGAGCCACCGCGCCCGGCAAGAGAGTGCCCGATTTAAACGCCTACATACCACATATCCTCAATTTCGAGAAAATAGCCACTGGTTTAGAAACTCTCAAGTACTGTGATTCACAGCACACTTTGGAGGTTGCATGTTTAGGTTCTGGAAGAGGCCCTCGGACGGCCCTTTGGCGCAGTGGTCCCCGGAAGGTGCCTGCCCAGCACGTCCGGGGGTCCTGACCAGCCTGCCCGCGGGATGGGGCGGGCCTGGGAGCCTCTCCGCCTGGCGGCCCAGTGGGCCTTCCCCGGCCGGCCCACAGGCCTGGGCGGGTTCCAGCGGTGGGCGCCGGCCGGGGTGCGGTCTAGGCCGCGGGCCGGTGGTTAGGGGCTCGCAGGCCGGCCCCGCCCGCGGGTCTGTCCGGGACAAACCCTTCCGTCAGGGGGGCGAGGGAGGCGCGGCGGGCCCTCAGTTCCTTGGCCATGGAGACAAGCGCGGCCTCCGCGGCCCGCCCCGCCAGCTTTCCCGCCTCCGCCGACGCGCGGCTTCCGCGTGGCAGGCCGCTCCGCTCCCCGGCCTGGCGCGCTGCCTCTTTGTCTCTCCGCGCCTCCCCTCCTCCCAGACAAATGGCTGTTGGCAGGAAATTGGACGCGCTCCGGGGAAGCCGCGCGCCGCGGGGAGGGGGCGCCGCGCGGCCAGCGGGCCTTGGGTGCCCCCAGCCAGGGCAGGGGCGGCGGCGATGTTTTGACATCTCGTCAAAGAAAGGAACTTGATGCTTCGAAAGTGCTTTTCACAGCCGGGCTGTGTCTGCTCCAGAGCTGATTTATAAGCAGAATCCGCGCTCTCTTCTCCGCTCCCTCCCCCGTCAGCCCGGGGACGGCGCCGGAGGCGCGGGCGCGGCTGTGCCCGGCAGGATCGGGTTTATTTATTGCCTCTGGCCCGGAGCCGGGGCGGCCTGGGGACTGCACAGTTCCCTCTGCCCGAGCCCCTCCCCTTATCTCCCCACCCCCCAAAGCCGGCTGCTCCTCCCAACAGACTCTGGGAGGAGCCTTCCGACGGTCTGGGGTGGAAGTCGGGAACGGAGGCAGAGAGATGGTCAGGCGCCCCATGGGGCCGAATTCTGCTCCACCTCGCAGGGACCCAGTGGGGAGAAGATGGTGGTGGTGGAGGTCGCCACCTCTGCCCTAAGGTCGGAAAGGAGCCGGAGCTGCCAATCTGAAACTCCCTACGACCCCAGCAGCTCTAGAACCCCCTTCCTCCAGGGGCTATCCTTTCTCTCCAGGGTTTCCTCTATCCCCAGCTCCAGCCAACCCCTTACTCCAAGGCCCCAGGAGCCCTTTCCCTTTAGAATAAGTTAAGGAATCTCCAGCTTCTGCTCGATACCTGGAGAAGAAAGGTTTGAAAGATCATGTCCCTGGCAAGCGCCACAGCCCTCAGCCAGGTGATGGGCACAGGGCTGGGTACAGGTCTATCACAGTGCCCTGGCTTCACATCTAAAGAGTCCGGATGGCCACAGGGTAGAGCAGGGACATGTGTTCGGCCCCCTTAATGGGTAGCTTGCGGCTGGCATAGTGGTGCACAATTTCTGGGACGCTGCTGAAGGGCGGGCTGTTCTGGCCCAGCACATACTTGTGTTCCTTGGTCCGGGACAGCTTCATGTGCATGAATCCCTGGCTGCTCCTGGGAAGAGGAGAGGAGACTTTGATGAGTGGGGGCTCTCCTCAGCCCCCCATCCAGCCATTCAGTAACCCTCCCCAACCCTACAGCAAATGTGGTGGTTCCAAAGCCAGCTGAGAATGTGAGGTGATTAGGGGAGATGGAGGTCAGTCCAGAAAGCAGGGGTGGTGGTGGTGTAAGTAGGTAGCACTGGGCATTGGCTTTGTGGTGAGGCCACTGGGTGTGCCAAGAATGTGTGTACAGGGAGTATACAGGGTGTGTGCAGGTGGAAACTGAGTGACCAACACCACCCCCGACCCCTGCTGGCCAACCCTGGGGTCCAGGCACCCTGGCCCTCCAGCCTCTGTGGCCAGGGCCAGTTTAACCTCACCTTTCGTGAGCTGTATGGTAGGACACCTGTGAGGGGCTCCTGGTGGCTCATGTGGAACCACATACACCCTTGGCAGGAGGGTGGACAGATGTGACAACCAAGCTAGTCTTGGTTGGGTCTCTCCCTTCTAAAGACTAGGGGGAAGGGAGAAGCTGATCTGGAAGACCCCCCAAAATCTGGGAGTGCTCAGCTGCCTCCTCCTGGGGATATCCCTTCACTCTCTTGCTCTCTGGGTCTTCGACCAAGCCCCTAGCTCATTTATCTGGCCCTTCAGCCTACAATGACTTCATTCCCTTGCTCAGGGACATGCTCCTGCCTCTCCCATCTCCCTGCCACAACCAGGAAATCAGCATCAGTGCCTGGCTCTGCCCTCAAGACAAGGACCCCACTGCTCAGAGCTCTGGCTAGCTCCTGAATGTCCAGGGACCCTCGGCCCATGAGAGGGCACGGGAGTACCCAAGTACATTTGTCTAAACCACCACAGGCTTGGTCTGTCAGGCCTCAGGTCTGAAACCCAACCACAGGCAAGGAGTAAGGAATGTTTTGGGGAGCCCTGAAGCCTAAGTGTTATATACTGCTGGCCACAGCCTACTTGGGGACAAGGACAGGGCTTAGAGATTAGTGTGGAAAGCAGAACCAGTGAGGGGGCTGCCTCCATCCTGAGGTCCACCCCCCAGAGAGGTGAGGCTGGCAATCCTCATCACTCGCCTCCCCTGTCTGGGTACAAAGACCCATTTCACCAGGCCCACAAGTGAGAAATCAGAGTGGGGAGGCTGAAGGGAGGTGACAGATGGGAGGAGAAAAGGAGGCCCCAAACTCCATCCCTCTGTCTCCCCAGGCATGGCGTCCTCAGAAGCCTAGCAGACTTCTGGGAAAAGGCCTGGGGCCCCAGGGCTGGGCGTGTCAGGGTGCAGGGTGGCGGGGGCCATCTGTAGGTCTGAGATAACTGAGGCTGACAGCTCAGGCCCTTGGGAAAAGGAGCCAGGGGCCTGAGGCAAACAGCCCCTGTGGGTGGTGGAGAGGGGAGGCAGTGTCCCCTGTCAGGCCCAAGGCTGTGGGCAGCAGCATGGGCCCTGCTTTCCTTCACCTCTTCTCAGTTTGGGGCTGACCGCTTCCCCCTTAGTCCCCCTGGGGAATTGTCTCTCCTAAAAGCTGCACATTGTTATCTTCTCAAAAGAGATCTGCCTAAGAAGGACAAGTGGCCAGAGAGCTCAGTAGCCATCTGGATAACCAACCTCCTGCAGAGGGGATGGCTGTGCTTTCCCGCCTCCTGGGACAAAGTCCCAAGGGTCCATTAGGACACAGCAAAGCCCCTGCCAGACCCTCAGGGTACTGGGGTTAGGACCAGCTGGGCTGCAGGACCAGGCTGTAGAGCCTTTTTGAGGAAGTTGTTTAATTACCAGTGAAAGCCCTTCCATTAGGGAGAGAAGAGAAACCATAATCATATTTCAGAGAAGCAATTTATATGTAAACGAGGCTCTGGCAGACAGATGTGGAGCCAGGTCAGCCAGGGTGGGAGCAGGTCTCCAGGCCTGCCTTGCCATTTTACCTCCCAGGCTAAGGCAGGCTGGCAGGGCTCCACTCTGGGAGCCAGACCCCTGGCATCTCCCCTTACCTTAGCCTGTACCAAACAATAATATGGCACTGGTGGAGCCGTGGAATACCATGGTTTGTGGAGTCAGACAGAGCTGGGTTCAAATCCTGGTTTTGGGACTTTATTACCTGGTGGCCTTGGGCAAGTAACAAGCCTCTTTGAATTTATTTTCTGTCTATAAAAAAGAGATCTGGCCGGGCGCGGTGGCTCAAGCCTGTAATCCCAGCACTTTGGGAGGCCGAGACGGGTGGATCACGAGGTCAGGAGATCGAGACCATCCTGGCTAACACAGTGAAACCCCGTCTCTACTAAAAAAATTAAAAAAAAACTAGCCGGGCGAGGTGGCGGGCGCCTGTAGTCCCAGCTACTCGGGAGGCTGAGGCAGGAGAATGGCATGAACCCGGGAGGCGGAGCTTGCAGTGAGCCGAGATCCAGCCACTGCACTCCAGCCTGGGTGACAGAGCAAGACTCCGTCTCAAAAAAAAAAAAAAAAAAGAGATCTATCTTGCAGGGGAGTAGTTGCTTTAGAAATGGCATATAGGTTGCTTGGTGTGCTCCATGAACTTTAACTGTAATTTTTAAGGCAATACACATTTCTGAGGTTATATACATCAAATTTTTGACAAAAACTCTTCTGGGAAATGCTTCTTTGATTTTATAATTCAAAGACTCCTAGAGTATGACAGCTGGGGAAAAAAAAGCGATATCTATCAATTCATTTGGCAAAGGTAGAAACCGAGGCTTGGCGATATTAAGTGATTTCGCTAGGATCACATAGCTAGTTTATCAAATCCAAGAATAGAACTCAGGTTACCTGACTATAGTCCGGCACTTTTTCTATTATCTTTTTTTTTTTTTTTTTTTTTTGAGACAGATTCTTGCTGTTGTTGGCCTGGGCTGGAGTGCAATGGCACGATATTGGCTCACTGCAACCTCTGCCTCCTGGGTTCAAGCAATTCTCCTGCCTCAGCCTCCTGAGTAGCTGGGATTACAGGTGCGCACCACCACACCCAGCTAATTTTTGTATTTTTAGTAGAGACCGAGTTTCACCATGTTGGTCAGGTTGGTCTCGAACTCCTGACCTCAGGTGATCCACCAGCCTCGGCCTTCCAAAGTGCTGGGATTACAGGTGTGAGCCAACACGCCCACCACTTTTTCTATTATCTTTTAGTGAAGTTGAATAATTATCCCCCAGATATGTCTGGTTTAGTAGCCCCAAGTTTCCATAGATTGGATTTGTTTGATGGTCCCAGAGAACGTGGTAGAAAGTGGTGCAGGTGTCCTACTAGTGATGGTGGGAGGCAAATGAACATACCACCCCACTGGCTTCCTAACATGGAGTACAGGGTCTACCAGGCAGAACTCCTGGTTGCCCAGGGCAGGGCTGGCCATGCTACCAGGGAGTCTGGGAGGCTGATCTACTGCTCCTGGGAGGAAAGCCTGATGGGAAGGGAGGGCCTTGCCTCCCCTACCTCTTCCAGGATCCAAAAGCTCAGACACCCCCCGTCCTCAAATACACACACACAGACACACACACTCTTCCTCAGAGTAAACAGGAATAACTTTGTGTCCACTACCCTGCCCTCCTTCCAGCACCCAGCCCCCCTCCCGCCCCCTCACCACCCTATAGACTCCCTCAGGCAAAGCTCCTATCTCCTTGCCTATGCTTCTAGAACATCTTCGGCTTCCATTAATAATGACAGTGATGATTTATTGAGCCCTTAGCACTATGCTAAGCACTTCTCATGCATATTTCACCTAATCCTTCCCTATATCATCCCGCATCCATTTCATTAGTAAGGAAACTGAGGCCTAGAGAGGTTAAGGGGGCCCAGGACACACAGCTAGAACAGAACCCTTCTGAGCTGCATGCTGCGGATCAACTATTTCTCCCAATGGACTCTGAGCTCCCTGAAAGCAGGGGCTGAGTCTCAGACATCTCAGGACCCCCAGTGCCTGGGGATCATTCATGGGGGATGGGGACCTCCCCAGCTTGGTGGGCATAAGGGGAATACTGGAGTCCCCTTCCACCCTGCTGGCTGTCCCTGCACCCACAACCGTCCCCACTCACTTGAGAGACAGGGAGAAGTCATTCTTGCTGGTCTCACTGTTGCGTACCAGGTAGCTGGCCTCTTTGCACAGCCGGAGCAGGTTCTCGGCGTCGGTTCGGCTGATGGCCCCGTGATACCAGCTAAGGATGAGAGAGAGGAAGGGGGGCATCTCTGCTGGGTCCCTCGCCGTCCAGGCCCACCCATTGTGGGTGTCCCCTGTAGGGAAGCCAGTGCCAGGAGGGGAGGAGCGGAGAGGGAGTCCCCAGCTGGACACAGACACTCACACCTGGTTTTCCAGAGGCAGTGCTGGATCTGTCCACTCCCCCAGGGGGCTGCTGGGCTCCACGCTTAGGGGCTTGGCTGACTTGGGGTTCCCTGCAGAGAGTCGGGGAGGTAGCCGCCCCTTCTCCTCCCGGCCAGGTGACAGGCAGCTCTTCTCCGATCCTTCAAACTGGGCTGTGGGGAACATATCAGTCATGGACTCTAAGGACCCTAGAGGTCCTCAGAGGTCCCTACTAAATAGCCAGTGCCCAATCCCTACTTCTTCCAGCCCCGAAAGGATCAAAGGAATGTTCTAGGAGGGCAGCCCATGCTCAAGGGCCTGACTGGCTCTGGGGACATAATCTTGGATCCATCCCCTGGTGGGGGTGGGCCTTCTGTGCCACAGGGCCTCGCAGTCCCCACACTGTGGGAGGAGAGGGCAGAGGAGCAACCCGAGAAACCATGCACACTTCTCCCTCCAGAGCAGCTGACTGCCTTCCCCCAGTCCATCCTCTCAGGGTGGCTTCAGCGCTGATAATATTGTTTCTTTCTCCTCCTCAGAGTTCATTACCGTTCTCCAAATCACCCTGCCAAGCCATTCTGTAGAAATGACTTATCGATCTGAGAACAATTATCTGATTCCCCTTGGTGCCATCCTGACAGGCTAATCCCGCCCAAAGCCACCAGCTGGCTCGCCCCTCCCCCACCCCCAACGTTGCTGCCCACTGGCTCCCTTCCCCAACCCACAGAGGCCCAGAGGCAGCACCTCTGCCCTCCCAGACCAGGGCAGCCTGATAGCTGAGCCTACATAAGGAAAGGCTGAGCCCCCATGGGTCCCCTGGCCACAGGCACACAGGCACACAGGCACACATGCACACATGCACGTATGGATAGACACCCTCCTTCATCCCATATTTTAAAATACAATATTCAGGCACAAATGTACAACCAGATGCTCATGCCTCTGCACACACACCCTTGGGTGCCCACTCTGGACAGAACTGAACATAGAGGAAAAATTAAGTGCGTTCTTTCTCCTCATTTGGGCTCTTTTTCTCTCCCTGTAGCCCTTTGAAGCCCTTATTGTCTTTCAGCCACCAGATGCAAGGGTCAGATCTGCTCCTTTGTGCCAAGGAGTTCCACACTTCCTGTGCCTGTCCCACCCCCACCTCAGGAGTATTTGCATTGCTGAAGGATCTGGCCAAGCAAAGCTCCCCACAAAGTGAATTTTAAATGGTGGATTTTTGTAGCGTGGTGAGGAACACATAAGAAAGGGGCCTCCCTGTAGGAGACACCATCCCACAGCTATGGGGAAGGGAGGAACATGCATTTTGTCTCTTTCTTCTTATTCCCAAATGAGATTCTTCCTGGGGTCTCCAAACCCTGCCCCACCTCTCAACTCCTCCAACCCAACCCGCAGGGCCTGGAGGGGTGAGGACATGTCACCCTGGCCAGAAGCCCCCCAGGACCCACCGCTGCTGTCCTCCAGGCTGGGCTCAGGGAGGGGTGAGGCTGGACCGGAGATGTCCCTGTCCCCATCAGGCAGGGAGGGGCTGCTGTCCAGCTGTCCCACAGGTGGAGGCCAAGGTAGGTCTTTGATGACCTTAATGTCAACTGGAGCCAGCAGCAGAAGTGAGAAGAGAGACAGACAGTGACGGAGACAGAAAGAGGTAAAGGTTGAGACACCAAAACCCAGAGCCAGGACACAGGACAGCCTAGAAAGGAGGAGGGGGAGGGGCAGAGGCAGAGGCAGGTCAGCTTTTGGGGAGGGACTCAAGGACTGGGCGGAGCCAACGCTGACCACACCAGGCTGGCCTGGTCAGACGGTGGGAAGCTCGGGTGGCAAGCAGCAGGATGCAGGGTCTTGCTCTGCCAGCTCGTGGGTCCCCTTCATTTGACCTCTTACAAGCCTCCAGGGCCCACAGATACCAGGAACAAAGGAAATGCAGGACTAGGAGTGACCAGCCCCTCCCAGCACCACCTCCGGGTTCCCATAGCCTCCTGGCGCCCACAGCCTTGCCTCCCTTTCTCCTTTTCCCCACAGCCTGGGAACTCGCAGGCAGCGAGAAAGAGCCAGCCTCGCCTCAGGTTGTCAGGATTACTCAGACTTGGGGGCAGATGTTTTATTGAAATTTAATGCCCACCCCCCATCTTGAGAAGAGTGATGCCACTCCGGCTGCTGGACTGCTAACGAGGTTTCCTAATGACGAGCATAGATTTTCCCATTAAGCAATCCAAACAGTATTGATTCTCCAAGGAGACTTCTGGAGATAAACGGCCCGTCCTCAATGGTGTGTGCTTTACAGGAAGAATATTAGAATCCTGTGGTTTTCCAGTCTGGCTGTCAGGGTGGGGAGGGCAGAGGAGGGCTGGGTCCAGCTCCAGGATGAGCCCCTTGCCCAAGCAGGGCAGAGGGGCATATACGGGCAGGAGTGAAGTCGAATGACATTTGAGCCCTTTATGTTCTCCCTGAATCAAGGACCCAGGAGCAAAAGCCCTCTCCCTGCTCCGGGCTCTTGCTCCACCCACCTCAGACCGCTAACATGAACTTTTCCATGGTGGGCTTGGACTTGGGATGGACAGTGGTGTGGCTGCAACAGAAGAAACCTGATCTTCATCTGGCAATCAAGGGATTTCTCATAGCCTCACTCTGCTCCTCAGAAATCTCCTTGGGGCCAGATACCCCTGGTCTGCCAGGGCCTACCACTGGGAGGCAGAGCCCTAGAATTCAGGTTACACTCATAGCTGTCTTCATTGTTTGAAGTAAGTGCCTTCTTTTGTTAAATGTAAGTATTTTAACACATGTCACGAGTTTCATAAGTTTGTTTTGGAATTTATTTTTAAATATACCCAGTCCCCAAAAGATAGAAGTAGTCTAAGCCTCTTAGCTTCCAAGAGGTGGTGATGCAGGGCAATACCTTCATCCTTCTCCTGTACCCATTCCTTGACCCTAAACACAGCGCTGTGTCCACACTGCCAACCCCACCTCCTGCAGTACAGAACTCAACTACATTTCCCTAGAGTCCTGATCCTGGGCCTCCCTGGGCTCCTAGGGTCCACTCCTTCCATTCTCTTGAGCCTGGAAAGCTGCTCAGAGGCCCCGGCTGACCTGCCCTCTCCAACAGGACTCACCTGCAAAGGCTTTGGAAATCCGCTCCTTCTTCCACTCCCAGGGCTGGTCATACTCCTCGGGGGGCCTCTCATCATCCTCTGGCAGGCGGGACTCCCGGGGCCAGGGGGCCCCCTCACCTTCCGGGGTGGCCCCATCCTCCTCCGGCTCATAGGGTGTGTCATACAGAGGCAAGGGCTGAGTTGCTGTCTCCTTGGAGCCCCGGATCTCTGCCAGGGCAGGGCAGGAAGGGAGAGGTGAGGGCTCAGCCTTGGCTTTCTGGCTCCCCTCCTCCTACAATGCTTCTCAGCAACAAGCCAGGCCTCCTTCAGAGGAGATGCCCTGGCTCTGAGGGGAGCTCAGCAACTACACATCCTGGGTTCCTCAAACTCAAAACACTTCTGGGTCTCTAAAAACAAGGGAGCCAATGAAGGCAAGGGCAGGTGGGCACCAGAGTAAAAGACAGGAGAAGGATCCTGCGACAGTCAGTGAGGGCTGGGTAAAATTTATGAGTTTAGGAAACTGAGGCACAATCCTCCCGTTGTCCACTTCCTCCCTGATGCCAAGTTCCATTTGTTTCCTTCTGTCTCAAATTATATCATTTCTTTTTATCTTTTTACATTTTTTTTTTTTTTTTTTTGAGACAGAATCTTGCTCTGTCACCAAGGCTGAAGTGCCATGGCACGATCTCAGCTCACTACAACCTCCGCCTCCCAGGTTCAAGCGATTCTCCCATCTCAGCCTCCCAAGTAGCTGGGATTACAGGCACCTACCATCATGCCTGGCTAATTTTTGTAGAGACGGGGGTTTCACCATGTTGGCCAGGCTGGTCTTGAACTCCTGACCTCAGGTGATCCGCCTGCCTTGGCCTCCCAAAGTGCTGGGATTACAGGCGTGAGCCACTGCGCCCGGCCCGCAAATGATATCATTTCACAATCACAGAATTATTCTTTGCTGCGCAGACACTGTGGACCGCCCCCGCCTTGAAACTTTCCCTTCGACAAGGTACATTCATCGTCATAAAGACCGCTCGCTTTGACATTCCATGGTTTCAAACACATCACCTTCTCCAAAGCTAACTGGTTCTTTTTGGGATCACTGACCCAGCCCCACCATTATTTTGTCCTTCCTGACTATCTTGAATGCTAATATCTGACCTTCAGTTGTGTGGCCTCCTGTACCACTTCAAGTCACACAAGTCACATCTGCTTCTCCAAAGTGACTATTGGGAAGGCAGTGACCATCCTCACCAAGGACCTGGCAAATACTTTCTTTCTGATCACCCCCAGCTGGCCTCTCCCTAGATCCTCTCTTGGCCTCTGTTCCCCAAGACCAGGTCTTATGTATCTCTCCCTATCCTAATTCCTTGAAATATACGCCCAGCCTCTTGGCACCTGCTGCATCTGTATTTCCAGTCATTTGTGTCCATTGCCATAAAGACCTTTTGCTTTGACATACCATCGTTTCAAACTGACCACCTTCTCCAAAGCTAGTAGTTCTCTTACTGGGATCACTGACCCCAGTGAAAATATGATAAAAGCTATGGAGCTACTCCCCAGAAAAATGTGCTCCTATATTTTCACATATAATTTCAGGGCATTCATGGGGGTTTCGTGGGGGCTTCCTGGGGTCCACACCCTCTGACCTAAATGGGGTAGTAAGCTTCTCACTTTCTCCATTTCCATCTACTACACTGTTCTCCTTGGACCTGGCCCTCCTTCATTCTTCAAATCCCATCTGTTCTTTGCCAATACCCAGTGACCTTCACCCTCATCTTTCCGTGTGTAGGTTACTGCTAGGGTGAACCTGCATTCTGCAGGCTCATGTTTCCAAGGGCTCCATGGAATAATATTCCTGGGATATTCTTGACCACTCTCTGCCTCCCTTACCACCTCTCCCAAGTAGGAAGAGCAGTTTATTGTATTGGTCAGTGAATGCACGCTCTCCTGCTCTTGAAGAGAAAGAACATTCTGGTTCATGCAGTCAGTGGCCTGCTCCTGTGTGTCTTTGACCCCGAGCCCCAGGTACCGAAGAGCAGGCTCTGAGCTTGGATGGGGACAAGCTCTGGCTCTTCCTTTGCAGGGTTCCCCCACTAGGCCTACTGAGTTGCCCAAGCCTGAGTGGGCAAGTTTAATTCTGTGGTGAAGTATTAAGAAGCCCATTGCAGTGACACATAGGCCCATTGTGGTGAACATAAGTAATGTTCTCTAATCAACTTTATCAGTAATAAAGCTGACATTTTCGTCCTGTTCCTCTCTTGCTCAAGAATTCATTATGGCTCCACTCCCCGTTTTGAAGCAAGTCCAGATACCTCATTCCAGCCTACGAAGCACTGCCCTGCCCGTCTCGGACTCTCTCATCTAGGTTCCCATGCACACCCAGCGCTCACATCATTTGCCCCTGAACAAACTTCCTCTCACCCTGCCTCAGGGCTGTGGCTTGGACAGACCCACCCCGTCCTCTCTGATCACCCCTATTTGATCTCTTTCCCCTGGACTCTCTCTCAGCCTCTGTTCCCAAGACCACGTCTACTCATTTCTCCCTAGCCTCACTCTTTGGACTACTTGCCCAGGCTCATGACACTCACTGTAACTACATTTCCAGTCATCTTTCTCCAACTGCCATGAAGATGTTTCGTTTCAAACTCATCCCCCCTCCCAAGGCTAGTGGTTCTCTTTTTGGGATCACTGATCCTCCCAGCCCTCGCCACTATCTTTTCCTTCCTATCTTGAATGCTTCTATCTGCACTTCAGTTGCGTGGCCTCCTGTACCACTTCAGGTCTCATAGGTTACAGCTGCTTCTCCAAAATGACTCTGAAAGGCAGTGACCATCCTCCCCAAGGACCTGGAAAAGACTTTCTCCATATTTTCCAGGGACCAAAGAATCAGTCCTTAGACTTGTGAGTCACAAAGCCTGTTCTGCAGAGCCCAGGCCTCAGGGAGCACCTCCCCTGCCACTGTCACTCACCGGCCATCATCTTTTGAGCCTCATAGGGCTCCATGTAGCCATCATTTTCAGGGACCTTCTCTGGGGCTCCTGAAGCTCCTGCTGAACCTTCACCAGTCTCCTGAACATCAAACGGGTCCGCATAGTCTTCTAGGATTGCTAGCTGTGGGAGGAGAGTGAAGACACTGGGCTTCAGGGAGAGGAGAGGCAACTCTGCTTCTCCCAAGGTACTCTGTCCATGGGAGCAAGAGTCCCAAGTAGGCTGCCTTCAATCTAGACCCCCAGGTACTCAAGGACAGGCTCTGAGCTTGGATGGGGACAAGCTCTGGCTCTTCCTTTGCAGGGCTTCCCAACTAGGCTGCCAACCAAGTGGTACATCTTTTTTTTTTTTTTTTGAGATGGAGTCTTGCTCTGTTGCCAGGCTGGAGTGCAGTGGCATGATCTCGGCTCACTGCAACCTCCACCTCCTGGGTTCACGCCATTCTCCTGCCTCAGCCTCCCGAGTAGCTGTGACTACAGGTGCATGCCACCGAGCCCAGCTAATTTTTGTATTTTTAGTAGAGATGGGGTTTCACCATGTTGGCCAGGATGGTCTCGATCTCTTGACCTCATGATCCGCCCGCCTCGGCCTCCCAAAGTGCTGGGGTTACAGGCATAAGCCACCATGCCCGGCCCCAAGTGGTACATCTTTTCCACTAATTTTGTGCCTCTAGGCCATCTCCTAGGCTAAATGGCCAGAAGGAGGCTAATGGGCCTCAGGTCTTGCCTCAAGTCAGGGTCCAAGCAGGACCAGAGCCTACACCAGGTGGTTCAACAAAGGGAATGACTTCAGAGAAACAGTTACAAAGGTGTTGGAAGAGTTCAAAGAGCAAGCAAAGAACAGGGAGACAACTCAGAGATTAGCATGGTCCATGCTTACGAGGGCACTTCCAGGTGGTGAACGAATAAACAGCTGCTCATCATCAAGGAAGGGAAGGTTGAGTACTCACTTTTTCAGTTCTGCTGATGGATCCTCACAACCCCTGTCATGTGGGTATTACTATCCCCATTTTAAGGAGTCAGAGGCTCAGGGAAGTTAGGGAACATGTCCAGGACCATTCTACATAAGTTGAATTGGAACCCATGCCCTTTGTGCAAAAGGCTGCCAACCTGCCACCAGAGGGCATCTTGGCTGTCCTGGGAGAGAGAATGCTGGATGGAGCCAGCTTTGGGGCAGCCCTGAAGTTGTGCTGAAGTTCCTGTGGGTCCTGGAGGGCAGGGACAGGAAAGGCTTCACTTTGGCCCTTCACTTCCCACGCTGCCCCTTTCTCCCACACAAGTGGTTCACAGACACTCCTCTATGCCTGCTGTCATTCAACGCAGAGTGAACTTCAAACCACACACTCGGAAGAGGCGCTCAAGGTGCTCGGGGCGGGGCGCAGCTGAGGACAATAGAACCTTTCTCCAAACTGGGCTTGGGCTTCTCCTGATGGGGCGCTGGCTGAGGCAGAGACTGAGCCCAGTTCACCCAAGGCTACCAGCACCCCGGGAGCACTGCACCAGTGGGTTGACAGGCGATGACAGGAGGTGGCTCCAGGGCCTGCGGCATGGGGAGAGGCCACTCTTGCCTTTCCTTAAATCTCAGTCTAGGCTTTGATTCTGAGCCAGATCAGGGCTGTAGGAGCCAGCTGGGCTGGGAGGCCGTGGGGTGACTGGCCTGCTCTGGGTTAGAGGAACTGGGAATGGTGACCGCTAGCAAGGCAGAGATGAAGAAAGGAGACTCCCCGCCTCGGAGACCCCTTCTGCACGTTCCTTCGACCCCGCTATTCCCTCGGAGGCACCTCCCAACGGCTTCTACCATCTCATCTGGGCTCTTCAGCTCCCACCTTGTTCTATTCATGCCCTCAGCTACTTTACCACCTCCCTTGCATCTCTGCCTGCTTGTGGGATAACCACCATCTCAGATCATCCCATTACCACCACCGGGCTATCCATACCTGGAACTCTGTCATTTTTGTCTTTCCAACTCCAGTAAGCACCTGACATACAGTAGGCACTAGACAAATGTTTCTCCTTGATTATCACCTATCTCCCCTTGGAGGCCTTCACCCCTAGTCCTGCTTCCGCCAGGAAGTAGAGAAAATAAATCCACTCACCACTACCCACCCAAGCTGCTTCCTCCCAGGCCAACTGGCACCCACAGCCCCACCCTTTGACCAAGGGGGCTCTGTGGTCAGCCCACCTTCGGTGATTCTGTCGGTCGGCAGCCAGCATCACACTCTTGTGGCAGCCGCTCAACAGTGTCTGAATCAACCAACACATTATCCTTAAACCCTGCGACGTCTCTCCAGTGCTTCAGGAAAAAGTCTGTAGTTAAAGAGATTTGAAAGCTTCCACTTTCCTCTTTAGTTTCTCTCTACTCACCTTGGATCACTTTGTTACCAGAAAGCTGCATGTTCTTTCTACTTCAAAGGCTTTCCCTCTGCCTGGATCGCTTTCTCCTTCCTCCTCAAGAGCTAACTCTTATAGATTATTTCTTTAGAAAGCCTGTCAATACTCCCCCAGGCCTGTTAGGTGTCTCTGTGCTGGGCTATTATCACACTGCATGGTAAATATTTGTTTTGTTCCATGTCTTCCTGCAGACTGTGAGCTTCCTGAGGGCAGGAACCATGTTTACTGTCAAATTCCTGAAAGCTCTCCGTAAATGTGTTAACTCCATTCACATAAAACAGGAAGAATGGACAAAGGAAGTACTTTTCCTTGTTCACTCAGCAGAGGAAGCATAAATCTGGATTGGGTGGGGTCATATGAGGGGACAGTCTTTCCAAGTGAAGCTGTGTCATCAGAAGCTGCTTGGCCGGCAGAAGTAGCTGGTCCAAGCCCCCGATATTCCCCCCACCCCTGCTCCTCCACTCCATAGAGCCCCTCCAGCCTCTCCCTCACCAAGCCTGCAGGCAGCACCCTTCTTACCCAAGTCCTGGGCCCATGCCCAGAGCCGCGACCCCTCCCAGGCTGGCGTGGGCCTCCTCAGCTCTAGCCTGCAGTGCCCGTGGGCGCCCCGGTGGCAACTCTGTGGGCAGCTCAATGGCTCCTCTGTTCCATTCCTGGCTCCACACCCAGCTCCAGGAAGCCCCGGCCCCACACCCTGGGCTGGGATGCCCAAAGGAGCCGCCCACAGGGCTGGGAGTCAGGAGCAGCAGCAGAGACGCCAGTTGGGAAGGATGGCAGGACAGGTACCCACCCTGGGCACAGAAGATCCCGGACAGAACCCAGGCCTGCTTTCCTGTGGCTTCTAGGTCCCCAGGATAAACTGCTCAGTGGAGGAAGCTGCCCCTATAGGCTTCCGACCCCTTTGACCTACCCTAATTTGTTGTTTTGTTTATGGTCCCTTTGCCTCACTCTGACGTGCTCACTACTGTATCCTGCATCAATCTCAGGGCTAGCACACAGTAGATACTCAATGTATACTAAGGGACGCTCAACAGGTGTCCTCTCCAGACTCCATTCTCTGGAGTGACATCACCTTTCAGATCCCTATTCACCTTGACCTCTAATGGCTGCAGGATCAGGCTCTCAGCAGATCTACATCTGAATAGAAATCAAAGACTGTGGCGCAAAGGCCAAAGGGAGGAGTTGTCCGCAAAGGACCTTTGGGGAAGACACCTAAAACCACGGCTGGTATTTAGGCACACTCTCTGATATAGCCAGAATGCTGCTGAAATGCTGAAAGATTTCCAAACTAGTAGGTAAAGTATCTACTACCCAGAGGATCCCATCCCTCTCCTTCCTGTCACCCGGCAGGGTGTCTCCAGGACTCTGCTATTGTGTCTGTTCCAACTGGGCAGTGCCCCTCCCAGAGCAGCTGTCATACTTTGAATCTCCTTCCTGCTCAAGCCTCTCCTGTGGTAGCTAGCAGGCCCGCCATCTGGTTCCTCTTCCACTCTGCAACTGGGCCAAGCAACACATTCTTGACCCCCACCGCGGGGCTCCAGAGGGGTGTGGATCTAGGAGGAGCAAGAGGGGCACGCGTTACAATGCGCGCCTTGCTCTGCAAGGTCCCCAAAGTCTACCACTGCCCCCTCCTCTATTTCTTTAGCTTACACTGAGTGTCTGGAAACCTCTTTTTATCTGTAGACCTCTGTCTTTTTATCTGTAGAAAAAGGATGGTAATAGTACCCATATCATAGGGTTGGGAAGAGGAAAATTAATTTGTAAACGTTCTTAGCCCAGAGGCTGGCATGGAGTCAGTGCTGAACAAATGTTAGCTCTGAGGATAATCTTTTACATTCAGGTATTAAGGCCTCAGAGTTTAGGTGCTTGTCCAGGGTATGCAGCTTGTCAGCAGCAGAGACGAGACAGGGACCCTGGCTTCCTGACTTGTAGTGTCTTACTACAGATTTTCCAAACATTTGGGAAATGCAGCATCTTCTCTCCTCTATTTGTAGATTTAAAATACACTTTAAATCTAAGGAGTCCTGCAGCAAAGAAATCAGTCTAATTTTGTTTAATCCTGTAATTTCTCAAAAATATTTAACCATGGAAGCCCTTTGTCACTGAAAATCTATTAACCCGTTACAGTTTGGGAAGTAATGGTACATTACTTACCTTCCTCGAGATCAAACTTTTTATACCCATGGTTCCTGCTTATTGCAATGTCCTTCTCCTATTTTATCTGAGAAATCCCTTGACATAAAACAAATGTCTTTCCCTTTTCTAATTACAAGAACAATGCCTTGTTTATAAAACAGTCACACATTACAGACATGCAGTCGATCCTACCAACCCTCATAAGACCCTTGGGTATGTCTGGTGCCACCTTAGGACTGGGGAGCAAGTGGTGGTCCCCAGCATTCAGGAAGTGGTAGACTCAGTACAGAACACACCCCTCATTCCTTCCCTAAGAGTCTGCTTCCTCTTGTTCGTTAGCAAATGCTTAGTGAATACCTCCTCTCTGCCAGGCACCTGGTGGTAGGTGCTGAGGGTCCAGGCATTGGGCTCACTCTACTACCTGCTGGCTGAGAAACTGTGCAAGTGTGACTCAGCATCCTGTGCTCTGGTTTCCCCATTTGTAACCTGGGGATAGTAGTAGAATCTTCCTCACAGGATTGTTTTCAGGATCAACTGGTCTAACACATGTCAGCTGCTTCAAAATGGTACCAGGCACAAGGGAACTGCTTAGTAAATGTCAGCCACCATATTATTAAAGACAAAAAGACCAAATTTCTGAGTCCTTCTGGAGGAGGCCCACAGTGATAGACACAAAATAAGCTCCAAGTTGTGAAGCCCTAAGGCTGGGCACCAGGCTCTGGGGGCACCCACAGGCCCACCACATGCAGGGTTTGGGCCCTACTTTTGCTCTCACATAATATGTTGATTCTGTGGTGAGGGCTAATGGAGTGGGCAGCAGGTACCCCTTCAAGCCCTGGGCCCCAGCCAGGGCTTCCTCAGCCTAGCCAGCAGCTCCCATCCATGGTCCTCAGGTTCCCAGCTCCCAACAGGCAAAGCGCCAGAGCTGAGTTGTCACTGAGTCATTCACTAGCCAAGGTAAGAAGCACAGATGTCTTCCAGACAGAGTTGGTGCCGCAGTGTGGGGTGACGGCACTGGGTGGAGTGGTCAGGCCTGCCATCCAGTCCCCCAGTAGCTGCAGGCCTCAGCCATCCTCAAAGCAGCAATGGCAGCACAGATGGCCAGCCTGTGAGGTTTAAGAGATTTAACTAGTCTACAAAAGTTCCTTCACCTGGACTCCTCCCTTCTCCTCCCTTTCTTCCCCAGACTCTCCTCCTCCCTCTATCTCCATCTGCAAGATAAGCAGATCGGACCTACAGACTCTGTGGAAGTCCTAAGAAGGAACAGTAAAACAAACAAGCAAACAAACTCCAAAAAGGCAAGCACCAGGTCTTCCAGGTGCTGTGTCCCTTTCAGCACCTAATGACATACACTTAATGAACACTGGCTAAGGGATGGTCCTACATTGACTGGCAGCCCCGATCAATCCTCCTAACCTCAGGGCAGGAATGTCTTGTTCAACTTCAGATGCCCTCACTGTATCCCTCACTTAACTCTTCCTACCTCTGTCTGTTTCCTCCTTTCCAAATCTGTGCCTGGAGGATCCAAGTCCTGTGGATATCATCTGTGAGATACAACTATTTTTTTAAGTTCTTAACATTTTGGGGCTTGTGAACCCCTATGAGAATCTAAGAGCTATACCTTTCCCCAGAAAAATAGGAAATATCTGCACACAATTTCTGGAGGTTCATGAAGCCCAGGAACCTCTCCATGAGCTAAGAAGAGCCCTGGTTTTAATCCAGGGTGCCTGACTGTCTTATTGTCCATGTTACCTCCCCACCCAGCCCCAAACATGTATCTTGGCATGAGGGAGGCAAAGGACACACCGCACAGATGGTCACAGACAGCTCAGAGCTTCGTCCAATCAGAGCCCTGTTCCCATATCCATCCCCTTCCCTAATTACACCAGGTTTTTCTTGCTGAAGGTCTGAGAAAAGGGAGCAAAGCAAGGGAAGGCCCAGCTCTCTAGCCCCCCTGCCAGAGCATGGCCTGGGGGCCAGACAAGGGCCCAGCATCATGAAGAAGCTCTTCCTCTGGCCAGATGGCAAGGCCCTGCCTGCCCGTTGCAGGGCGCGGCTCCTGCTGCTCCCACACCTGCCCTGCTAGGCCTGCCCAGATGGCCACCCCTGCACCCCTGCCAACTACAGCAGTGGGTCCCAGGATGGGCTGGCAGCCAGAACCCCGCGTGGAGAGAAGGCTAATGGTCGTGAGCCCCCCTGGGCCTCTCAGGGTACTGTCCAGGACCTGGTTCTCTCCTGCCCCCATACTAACTGGGTTTCTGCTCAATCCCTCTGGCTTGTCATAGAAACACCTCCACCCATTCCATCAAATCTCATGACCCATCCCTTCTCAGAGGGTTCTGACTCCCCCAGCCCCAGCCACTGGGTTCCAGAGGAGAGAATAGGCCAGCACAAAGCACATCCCTGTTCCCAGGCCTCATCTCATGTCAGGAGGAGACCTCAAAGCAAGCCAGGAGGCCTGAGAGAATGAGGAACAGAAAACAGTGAGAAAGTGGCCACATAGTACATAAACACCAGCTCCACTGGGCCACAAGGGCATGCGCCAACTCACATCCAGGAGCAGCATCTCTTAGGTTTAGGGTAAGGGACTCAGGCATCTTGTCTGAGCTTTTCCTAGAGGAAGACTCAGACCCCAAACTCTGCTCCTAAATGGGTGGGGAGCTGCTCTCTCTAAATGGTGGGAGGCCCCAGGTCAGGGCCCATAGAGATATAGCATCCCCGCCCCGGGCCAACTCAGATGGCATCCTGGGTCTTTCTCATCACACCCATTAAAGAAACCACAGATTGTATGGCTCCTGGGAGAGCCTGCTGGATTTCATTCCTGTCCCTGTAGCTGACAAAGGAGTCAGACATCTCTTGGCCCCTAAGTCTGAAAAGCACACAGATCACAGGGCTGACCCAAGCTGAGGCATGGAGGCCCTTGGCAAGAAGAGGCTGTGAGTCGCTGCATGGAACTGTGTGGGTGCAGCCCCTTCCTTGGGGGTGTCTGGGAAAATGTGCAAGGGAAGCTGCGGCTAGGGGAGTCCCTGACCCTCAGGCCACCCTGATAATGGACAGTCACCATTCAGGACATATTTATGCACCCTTCTTTATGTCAAGCATTGTGTCAGGCACTTGGGAGACACAAGAAGACATGGTCCGTGTCCTGCAGGAGCCCATGGCTTGGTGGGCAGCCTGTTAGGTCGTCCAAGCCACTGTAGAGAGGAGAAGGGCCAAAGACAGCTCAGGCCCATGTTGCCTGTGCCAAACAGGCAGCGGTTAGAGAGGAGGAGACTGACTGGTCAGTGGGAAGAACAGGGCCTACCCCTCTCTCTGCCTCACTGTCACCACCTCCATCACATCACACAATAGCGGGGGACAAGAAGCAGACAAGCACAGCCTGGGAGAAGTGCCCTTGAACCTTCCTCTGCAGAACAAGTATCCTGGCCCGGGATGGGCAGCCATGCCCCATAGCAAAAACTAGGGGAAAAAGAATTTGCATTCCTGAGGCTTCTGCTCTGGCCCTGACAGATCCCTCTCATCCAGGAAATGTGGCGGAACGGCGCTCTCTCAGCTAAAAAGCCTCAATCCTGGAGCCAACAGATTCGGAAAGCAACTCTGCACTCCAATCAAATACAAATGTTCTCTGCTGAGGAGCGGCGGGTAGGCCCCAGAACTGAGCTCCCGGGGCGAGTGAAGAAGGACAACAGAGCCAAGGCAGCCCACAGAGTCATCATCACAGAATTGAGGGGCCTCGAATGGCTTTCAGCTCTCACTCTGCCAGGGAGGAATAAGGCCGACCCGAGTCAGGGCAGGGCCCTGAGGCATGGTGGATGTCCTGTTCTCCTCCCTCTCCTGGTGCCTGCAGACCCAGGAAAAGCTCCAGCCTCCCTCAGAATGGACCCGGGGGAGAGGGAGGCCAGGAGGAGAGGAGGAATGGCCTCAGCTGCTTAGCCCCATGTGGGCAACAGGTCCTGAGCACTGACTATCCTCATACCTGATAGGACAAGGGAAGGAGGAAGGAGTGGGCCTGGACCCCAGGAAGCCCCCCTTGGCAAGAACTGTAAGCTGCCTGTCTTGGCCTCCTGAGAACAACAGCCCATAGGGCAAAGGCCAGTTCGTGCTGTGTCCTCAAGGAGAAACCCGTCTTCACCTCCTTTCTGGGGCTTCGGCACCTGCAAGGATGCTTAGGCTGGAGAAATAGGAGGAGGAAGAGGAGGAGGAAGCAAAGAGGCAACAGGAGGAAAGAGCTTTGTGCTGGCTATGCCCTGGGGGAAGGGTCAGAGATCAAAGGGCAGTGAGCTGCTGCTTCCAGAGGGGCAGAAAGGCCATCAACCAGTGGGGGTTGGGAGGTGCGCCTCAATTCCCGCTAGAAAAAGGCTCACGGATCAGGCTGGAAGGGGCTGCGAAGTGCAGAGCCAGCCTGGGAGGGGGAGGGTCACCAGTCCTGGGGCCATTACAGGGAATGGGGCAGAGGGGCAGAGTTTGGGGCTTCCGTCTCAGATGAGTCGGCTGAGAACCTGAACAAAGGTGGGTGAAGGCTCGGAGCCCCGGGGTCAGGGGCTCGCGTCTGCCAGTCGCTGAGACACCGAGGGGCCCGAGTCAGGCCACCTTTGTCCCTCTCGCGACCTCCAGACCTCTGACTGCCTCCCCTCCCCGCCATCCCGGCCCGGCGCGGCACTCACCCTGTCGCTGCTGGCGGGGGGTCCGGAGATCCGTTCATCAGCAGGGGGCGCCGGGGGCCCAGGGGTCTCGACCCG